GGATCCTCGTCCTCAGCGTAAAGAACGTGAGGAACCTGGTGCTTAGCCGAAGGTACATTGTCCTCAGCGAGAGGAACCTTGTCCTCAGCGTGAGTAACCTTGTCCTAGGCGGTAGAAACCTTGTTCTAACAAGGTTTCTACCGCTTAGGACTAGGTTACTCACGCTGAGGACAAGGTTCCTCACGCTTAGGACAAGGTTCCTAATGCTGAGGTCAAAGTTTTTAAACTTTGACCTCAGCATTAGGAACCTTGTTCTAAGCGTTAGGAACCTTGCCCTCAGCGTAATGAAGATGAGGAAAGTTGTCCTCAGCTTGAGGAACCTTGTCCTCAGCGTGAGGAGCATTGCCCTCAGCGTGAGGAACATTCTCCTCGGCGTGAGGAATTTTCTGCTGAGCGTGAGGAGCATTGTCGTCAGCGTGAGGTAACTTGTCCTTAGCTTGAGGAACCTAGCTTGTCCTCAGCGTGAGGTACCTTGTCCTCAGTGAGAGGAACTTTGTCCTCAGCGTGAGGAACCTTGTCCTCAGCGTGACTAACCTTGTCCTCAGCGTGACGAAGATTGGCCTCAACGTGAGGAACCTTGTCCTCAGCGTGAGGTGCCTTGTCCTCAGCGTGAGGAACCTTGTCCTCAGCGTGAGAAACGTTGTCCTCAGCGTGAGGCACCTTGTCCTCAGCGCGAGGAACATTGTCCTCAGCGTTATGAACCTTGTCCTCAGCGTGAAGAACATGAGGAACCTAGTCCTCAGCTTGAGGAACCTTGTCCTCAGCGTGAGTAACCTTGTCCTCAGCGTGTGGGAGGAACCTTGTCCACAGCGTGAGAAACCTTGCCGACAGCGTGAGGAACGTTGTCCTCAGCGTGAGCAACCTTTTGTTCAGCGTGAGGAACCTTGGCCTCAGCGTGTGGGAGGAACCTTGTTCTCAGCGTGAGGAACCTTGTCTCCAGCGTGAGGAACTTTATCCTCAGCGTGAGGAACATTGTCCTCAGCGTGAGGTACTTTGTCCTCAGCGAGAGGAACCTTGTCCCCAGCGTGAGGAACATTGCCCTCAGCGTGAGGAACTTTTTCTTCAGGTTAAGGAGGAACTTTGTTCTCAGCGTGAGGAACCTTGTCCTCAGCGTGAGGAACATTTTCCTCCACGTGAGCAACCTTCTCCTCGGCGTGAGGTACCTTGTCCTCAGCGAGAGGAACCTAGTCCTGAGCGTGAGGAATCTTGTCCTTAGTGAGAGGAACCTTGTCCTCAACGTGAGGAACCTTGTCCTCAGCGCGAGGAAGCTTGTCCTCAGCTTGAGGAACGTGAGGAACCTTGTCCTCAGCGTGAGGTACCTTGTCCTCAGCGAGAGGAACCTTGTCCTCAGCGTGACGAACCTTGTCCTCAGCGTGAGGGAGGAACCTTGTCCTCAACGTGAGGAACATTTTCCTCCGCGTGAGCAACCTTGTCCTCGGCGTGAGGTACCTTGTCCTCAGCGAGAGGAGCCTTGTCCTCAGCGTGAGGAACCTCGTCCTCAGTGAGAGGAACCTTGTCCTCAACGTGAGGAACCTTGTCCTCAGCGTGAGGACGCTTGTCCTCAGCGTGAAGAACGTGAGGAACCTTGTCCCCAGCGTGAGGTACCTTGTCCTCAGCGTGAGGAACCTTGTCCTCAGCGCGAGGAATCTTGTTCTCAGCGTGTAGAACGTGAGGAACCTTGTCCTCAGCGTGAGGGAGGAACCTTGTCCTCAGCGTGAGGAACCTTTTCCACCGCGTGACCAACCTTGTCCTCGGCGTGAGGTACCTTGTTCTCAGCGTGAGGAACCTTGTCTTCAGGTTAAGGAGGAACTTTGTCCTCAGCGTGAGGAACATTGTCCTCAGCGTGAGGAACCTTGTCCTCAGTGTGTGGTTCCTTGTGCTCAGCGTGAGGAACCCTGTTTTCCACGTGAGGAACCTTGTCCCCAGCGTGACGCAGGGTCCTTGTTCTAAGCGTGAAGAGCCTTATCGTCAGCGTAAGCAACATTGTCCTCAGCGTGAGGAACCTTGTCCTCAGTGTGAGGATCATTGCCGTCAACGTGACGAACATTGTCCTCAGCGTGAGGAACCTTGTCCTCATCGTGGGGAACCTTGTCCCCAGCGTGAGGAACCTTGTCCTCAGCGTGAGGAACCTTGCCCTCAGCGTGAGGAACCTTGTCCTCAACGTGAGAAACCTTGTCTTCAGCGTGATGAAGCTTGTCCTCAGCGTGAGGAACCTTGTTTTCAGCCAGACTAGACCTAGGCCTTCTATTTTTATTGATATATTTTTAATATTCAGCTCTTTTTCACATGAAAAGACTGGTACTAGGTGATTTGGGGGTGGGGGGGAGGAAGGACACAAGCCTGACGCAAGCGAAAAAATAGAAGGCCTAGTGGATTTCCCGATAACAAGGCCAAAACTGCCGTGAAACTGCCCTGATTGCGAAATGCCCAATTGTTGCGTTCTCAAACAGAATTATTTGCAACTTAACAGCGAATTTAAACCGATACAGGTAAAATAAACCCATTTATAGTATAAACTTACTATTTTTATTTGTATATACGTCTAGAAAATCGGTTTTTTTGTCATAAAGTTTGAAGCAACACTATTTATATATGTTGACAAGGTGTAGCGAAAAGGCACAAAATATAAATAATTCTTTTATTCGCAAGACAATCTACTGTTTTGCTTTGAATAACTATATTTGCGAATTGGGAATGAGGATTTTGAAATTATTGTTCAAATATTACGGATATACCATTTGTAAACAATATACGTTTTTATATACAGTACTGTACGGGCTAATAATATATGTATCCGTTTTATTTTGTATATTTTACAAACACAAAACTGCATCTTGCCAAAATTGAGAAAATATATATTAATGTAGTTGTGTATAAGACAAAAATTTCATGAAAGATTCTACTTTTGGTATATATTTTGACTCATTTTGTGCTTCGCTATACCTTGTCAAAATATTAAATAATAGCGTTGCTTCGAACTTTATGATAAAAAACCCGATTTTCTAGACGTGTATACAAATAAAAGTAGTAAGTTCATACTATAAATGAGCTTATTTTATCTGTGGGTACTTGTTTACGGGTGGGTACTTGTTTAGGGGGTGGAGGGTTGGGAGGAAGATGAAAAAATTTTAGGGTGGGATTCTTACATATTTTGTTCTATATATAATTAACATTTAGCTCTTTGTGTGTATACGCCCTTCGTGGAAACCAG